TGAACGATTTGGCAGTCAAAGATCCACATAACAACATTCTAGTCAAATTTGCAGACGACATGACTCTCAGCGTTCCATTGAGAAAGAATTATGACTCCGCAATAGCTGAAGTAGACAATATTAAAGAATGGACAGAAAGAAACAAAATGTCATTAAATTTAGGTAAAACTTGGGAAATGGTTATAAGTCGTAAATAAAAAAATCCTCCGCCAAACCAAATAGAGGGTATTAAGCATAAATCTTGGCTGAAACTGTTGGGAATAACATTGCAGAATGATCCGTCGTGTTGGGACATTCAATTTGACAATTTGCTAACTAGAGCTAGTAGTCGAATGTACATTTTGAGGATGTGCAGATCATACGGTTACTCAAAAAAACAGTTAAAAACTCTCTTCGATGCCCTTATTATGTCGCTGTTTTCTTTTGGAATTGAAATATGGGGTTCCGCCCTTGAGAAGAAATATCGAGAACGGGTTGATCAATTTTTACGGAGAGCATATAAATATGGATACACAACAAAATGTGTTCGAATAATGGATGTGATCGAGGAAAAGGACAAAATCCTATTTGGTAAAATATGTAGTAACCTGGACCACCCTTTATACAAACTACTTCCACCTAAAAGGAAAAAGCGTTTAAGGGAACGAGAACATGATTTTATTTTACCCAAAGTCGAAACAGAAAGATTTAAAAGGTCTTTTTTAAATAGATGTCTTTTTAACAATTTTAGCTAACTTTAATAATCTTAAATTTTAATAATCTTAATAGTAAAACTTAAAGGATTGACTTTTAATAACTTTAGCCATAATAGATATTGTACATTAATAATTCTATTCCATTCCTGTATATGTTAGTATATGTTAGTTTAAATTGTAAGGTCACACGTCTGTTGTGGCTAGATTTTATATGTAAAGACTTTAATAATAATAATAATAATAATAATAATAATAAAATTGCAGCAACAAAATATAAAATTGCAGCAGCGGTATATAAAATTGCAGCAATGATATATATAAAATTGCAGTAACGATCTATATAAAATTGCAGCAACGATATATATAAAATTGCAGCAACGTATATAAAGTCACAGTCTTAAACAAAACATTGCAGCAATGAATATTTGATATTGCATGTCCCCTATGGGCCACCGTACCAATGGAATGATGACCTATTGAATCCAACAGCACTTCAAACCTATGCTGACTGCGTGCATCAATTGGGAGCCCCTTTGGCGAACTGCTTTGGCTTTATAGACGGTACTGTTCGTCCCATTTGTAAACCCGGAACAAATCAGAGAGTAATGTACAATGGTCACAAGCGTGTGCACAGCTTGAAATATCAAGCTATTGCAATTCCTAATGGTATCATTGCACATTTGTATGGCCCAGTTGGTAGGTTCTGTTTTAATTAATTAATGCATCTTATAGTTTGAAAACCAGTTAAAGCTATAATTAAACTACTTTAAAATTTGTTATTGCAGAAGGAAGGAGGCATGATTCTGGGATGCTAGCAGACTCAGGTTTGTTGCCTGTTCCTGTTCTCGTAGAGAATGCACTTTCACCAGCTGGTCTTCCCATGTGTGTATATGGAGACCCCACATACCCCCTGCGGGTTCAACTTCAAGCTCCATTTCGAAATGGTGTTGGCATGACTCAACAAATGGCTGCTTATAACAAGAGCATGAGTGAAGTTAGGGTTTCTGTGGAGTGGTTGTTTGGTGACATTGCAAACTATTTCAAGTTTGTGGATTTTAAAAAAAATTTAAAAATTCAATTAACTAGTGTTGGAAAAATATATATAGTGTCTGCTTTATTAAGGAATGCTCTAACTTGTCTTCATGGAAACCTTACATCAGAGTATTTTGGTCTGAATCCACCGCACATCCAGGATTACTTTGCATAGATGCAAAATAACACTGACAATTTAATTTCTTGAACTGCTCAAATTTAATTTCAAAAACTATAGCTGTAACATTAAAAGGCAAACAACAACAATGCATTATAAATGCTAAAATTGTAAATATAGCAAACCTCTCTTGTAAATTAAGATCAATATAACATTCCCATTCATGCAACAAATGTACCTGGTATAACTAATTAATAACCATTGATAGATGCAAAGTTGTAATTAATTTCAGTACTTTCTATATCATCAATTTTATATATTGTGCTACTGATTAAAAAAAATAATTAGTTATACCAGGAACATGCTCTAATTGAACCTTTTATTCCTTCTTTACTAACTGTTGCAACAGTGTCAACATGGCTTGATTTTGTTGTTGTTGTTGTTGCAATAACATATTTTGCAGGTTTTGTGCCTGGACTTGCTGTTGCTGCATGCTTTTCATCATTTCTGTCTGAGCATCAACTTCTGCCTTTTTTAGATCAATCTCTTTCTCTCGCAGTTCTCTTTCAATCGCAGCCTTTTCTCTCAGATACTCAACTGTCTCGCTTCCACTTCTGCGCTTTTTTTTACTTTGCCCAACACTCTCTTCATTCTTCCTTTTGTTTGACTCTCCCATCCTTTCCATGGCCAATTTCCTCATTTCTTCTGCCTTCCATTTGTCTAACTCAGCTTTCTTTCCTTTCCCAGCAGTTTCTTCTTCTGCCACCTTTGTTTTCTCATTTTATTTTCTCCAGTAAAACATCAAGTTCTGTCACTTCAACAGAGATCCCACTGGCTGTTTCCTCTTCACAAATTTGTTTTCTAAACTTTGTTTCCAACAAATTAAACCTTTCTCTCACTGACCTCTGAGAAACCTTAAACATCAACTCTGAACAGCTGTTTAAATTACCAGCAATGTCAGTCCAACATTTTCCTTTCTCAACAGAGCCTTTTCTGTGTTTAAATGGTTGCAGAACAAGAACTTCTCTCAACAGAAGAACATCATGATTCTCTGTCCATTCCATTGCTGACCTATGATAATAAAAATAAAGTAAATTGAACACTAATAAAGCACTGGTTTTGTCCAAAGTTCTAAAATGTACTTCAAGCTAAAAATGCAAGTTGTTTACAAATAACCTTTAAATATTTAAATCGTTCGTAGTCGCGAGTACTTCTAAACACATGAAGTGCCGTACTAGACGGAGTACTTCAAAACACATGAAGTGCCGTACTAGACGCGCGTACTACGGCTGCCAGGGGGAGGCAACCGCTCGCAAAATATGACTGTCCTATTTCCGGTCGCCGTAGCCGTCCAAAAAACCGTCGCGGCTTAAAGTCCCTAATGTAGCACCTCTCGGAAGGTCGATGCTGATTGGCTGATATGTTTTTCATCTGAATTTCTATTTTTCCATTCCAAACAGAATTCCGCATTTTTGGGAGTATACTCGCGGTTTGAAAATGTGATCGCATGCATAATTAACATAATTACTTTTATTATTTAAACTTATTTAGACTGATTTACCATACTATGCTCGTGCATAGTATACTATGCTCGTTGTAAATTATTGAATATTATAAAATTTGACATACAATGTCCATTGCGAGTACGGCAGACACATAGCACGCAGCACGCCGTGTTGGTTTCGAAACGGAAGGTCGTTCAAGTTGCTATTTTTCTGGCAAAAACAAGTTGTTATTTTCCGTTTCAGCGCAAAGATTTACATCAAATGCGTAAATTTGGTTAGCAAATGCGCAATGCGGTTGCCTTGCCTAGCCACGCTATGTCCGTCACAAACACACCGCGTTTCTATCAATTCTATGTTTTGAAATCCGGTTCATGCTACACAAAAACAGCCTACCTAGCTTAGGTTACTCATTCTACGCTGAGTCTCGAATGTGGACGCTTGCAAGAAAGCAAAGGTTTATGTTAAAATTCTATTCGCATTGCGAGACAAAAAATTCTATCTTTATTCTACCTCAATCAAAGCTATATCTACGCGCATGATAGTTAAAGTTGGTGCGTCTGCAAACCAAAGTAAGTAAATAGATAATACGTTGTTTCAGTTAGCAATTGTCGCGCTAAGTGTTTCGATAAGCGCTGCTAAAATCGGTTTAGTTGTTATATTGTATTGCATGCTAATTCTTAGTTTAATAAGTATATCTCATTTATGTCAATTATCAAGTATACTCGTATTAATTTCATGTGATAGGTTACTATAGTTTGTCTGCTTATCATATTTTAGTTCGAACCGACGCAATATTCTCAATCGACTTATTCGACCCAAACCTGTATATATCCTGTTAATAAATTATCAAAATTCCTACGTCGAGTTCGTTTCATTCTACGCACCGCGTCTACCCCTGTAGATTTATTGGGAACTCGTTGACATTGAATTTCTGTCCCAGTGAAGCTACATTAGTTCGAATTTGATGCATTGTTAAAGGAATTTGAGGAATTTACCCCACGTCAAACCGTTTCGGATTTCGTCGCTGTCATTGCGGTTGTTAAATTTATCTCTACGGATCAATTAACGCATCCTTAGAACGGACACGATTAAATTAAGAGCGATTAACGTTAAATACCTATGGCATCCAAACATGAACAACTTCAACAATTGAAGAAAGCGCGCAGTTTGACAAAGGCAAACGTAACCAGAAAATTAAATAAAATTAGGGAATTGATAGACAATTCTGATAATCTGCCGGCTATCAAGGATCTTTTGACCGAATTGCCTGATGTTTTAAATGAATTTCACACGGCGCACAAGGCATATCATTCTCAAATTTGTGACGAAAACGAGTTGCATGACTCCGAAGAATATCGCTACGCCGTCGAGCTATCCGTTACAGAGCTCGAGCATGACATCGACGCACTGGTTAAACAAGTGCAACTGAACATTGAAAAGTCTTTTAAGGATCATCACATTTCGGACTCCCACAGCGGTCATATTCGGCCAGAAGATTCGATCAGTCAAGTAGGTTCCCGCGTATCGTCTCGTTCAAACTCGCTATGTGGTTCGGCAACAAGTTTTAGCAGTTCGAAAGCGAAGGCCGCTGCGAAGAAGGCTGCCTTAGAATCGCAGGCTAAAACCTTACGTCGTGTCCATCAGCTCGAAATGGAGGAGCTCACTCTGCAACAACGAAAGAAAGAGTTACAGCTGAGCGGAGAAATAGCCGCTGCGAAGCTGAAAGAGACGTGTACGAGCAAGCCGAGGCCCAAGAGCTTAAGCAATCGACCCTTCCTGCTATTAGACGCTCGTACCGGAAGGTCAAAGAATCCCTTCGCAACCGAACCCACAGGGGACAACCAACATCAAAGTATGGAAAATACTCCCAAGATCAATTCGAGGCAGGACTTCGCCAGCAACTCAACATCTACTCCACGTGACGAATTGTTCCAACGAATTGTTGAAATACAAGACCAACAAAGTAACGCCCTCCAACAACTTATCCGCCAACAGCAACAGGGTGTCTTAGCTTTGACTCTGCCCCAACCAAGTATGCCAGTCTTCAGCGGAAACCCTGTCGACTATTGCGATTTCATCCGCTCCTTCGAGCATCTGATCGAGTCGAAAACCACAAGCCCAAGTGCACGACTCTACTACCTTGTTCAACACACTAGCGGTTCTGTACAGGAACTCATGAAAAGCTGTCTTTCGATGAAAGAGGACGAAGGATACGCAGAAGCTAGAAAACTCCTCAAAGAACGTTATGGAAAGGAGTACCGGGTCGCCGCCGCCCACCTTCAACGGCTGGTCGACGGTCCACCAATCAAGAGCGAAGACGCGAACGCCCTTCAGCAATTCTCGATACAAATAACCAGTTGCACAAACACGCTGGAGAAGATTGGATACCTGCATAAGCTAAATAACTCGGAAAATCTGAAAAAGATAGTCGAACGCCTACCCTACGCGATGAGAGTCAAATGGCGAGACAGTAGATCGGATCGTTGAAATAGAAGAGCGCGATGTCACAATAAAGGACATTAACAAATTTGTAACTGCCAAAGCAAGGGCTGCAAATCATCCAGTCTTCGGAAAGATCGCCATAGAGAAACCCAAGCCGCTCAAGCAGAACCAGAGGAAATCACAATATGGAAAGGCTACAGGTTTCGCAACCCAATCAACCTCACAATCACCCAAATGTCCACAGTGTGGCTCCAACCATTGGCTGTCTCGCTGTGATAAGTTTAAAAAACAATCTCTAGAAGAGAGACAGAAGTTCGTCCGGGAAAAGAAACTTTGTATTAACTGCTTGTCAACTGGTCACTACGTCCGCTCGTGCGAGAAAGAAAGTTTTTGTAAAGTTGATGGATGTGTCGGCAAGCATTCAACCTTTCTTCACCCGAAATTGCAACAGCCCCTGAACAACAAGAAAAACGACTCCAAACAGGAAGAGAAAATTCCGGAGGATCGTCGCTCTGAAGATAATCATTCCGAAACACAAGGTAACAACGCCAACAATGGTTACGTCAAGTCTAAGCCCGGTGGTAGTTCTCCAATCACAGGCCTCGCAATCGTACCTATCGAAGTGAAAGCTAAAGGAAGCTCGAAGACGGTAAAAACTTACGCGTTCCTCGATTCAGGCTCGAATACCACCTTCTGCACCGAAAAATTGCTTGAAGAACTCGAGACCCACGGTACAAAGACGAAGCTGTCATTGACGACGATGCAAGCCGAAAATGTTCCGGAACAATGTACAATGGTTAGCCTGGAGATCTCGGACCTCGCGGGCAACTCTGAAATCAACCTCCCAACGGTGTATTCAAGGCCGAACTTGCCAATTCCGAAAGACGCCATTGGAAGGCAAGAAGATGTAAATCGCTGGCCCTATCTAACTGGAATCAGAATAAATTCAATCGACGCAGACATTGGACTGCTTATTGGTAGCGATGTCCCGGAAGCTCTCCAACCTCGTGAAATGCGACAAAGTCAGAACGGTGGTCCATTCGCAACCCGAACGGCCCTTGGATGGGTCCTGAATGGTCCATTAGGCAGAAACGGAACGAAGACTTCGACGGCGAACCTAGCTCAAGCTAATCTAACCTTGGACGAAAAATTCGAAAACCACTGCAACTACGAATTTAATGATTACAAATATGATACTAACCCAACAATGTCTCAGAACGATCGAAAGGCTCTCGGCATCATGGAAGAATCGGTTAAGATGGAAAATGACCATTACGAGATCGCGCTCCCGTGGAAAAACTACCCACCAGACCTACCTAACAATAAAACCCAAGCCGAACATCGCTTACAATTGCTGAAAAAACGACTAAACAACAATCCCGAACTTCTTCGGAAATACCGAGATTTCATGGATAAACTATTCGAGAAAGACTACGCGAGCGAAGCAATCAACAAAGAAGAAGGATCGTTAGGTACGCGCTGGTACCTCCCACATCATCCTGTCTTCCATCCACAAAAACCAGATAAAGTCAGAGTTGTTTTCGACTGTTCTGCGAAATACGGCAACACCTCCCTTAACGACCGGCTCTTACAGGGGCCGGACCTAACCAACTCACTCGTCGGGGTGTTAACACGGTTCCGCGAAGAACCCATTGCGTTCATGTCCGACATCGAAGCAATGTTTCATCAAGTCCGCGTTCGACCAAGCGACAGAGATGCTCTACGATTTCTGTGGTGGCCGAACGGCAATCTCGAGAACCCTCCCGAAGAGTATCAAATGAACGTCCATTTGTTCGGCGGTACTTCTAGCCCAAGTTGTGCGAATTACGCACTGAAGAAAACGGCGATGGACAATGCATCGCACTTCCACGACAAAACCATCGAGACCGTCAAACGCAATTTTTATGTCGACGATTGTTTGAAATCAGTTCGCGACGAAGAAGAAGCAATCAAACTTTCGAAGGAATTACGCGAATTACTATCACTAGGAGGATTTAATCTCACGAAGTGGTTGTCCAATTCTCGAAAGGTTATTGAATCCTTGCCGGAAGCAGAAAGAGCAGCTCAAGTCAAAGATTTGGATTTCGACAAGATTCCAATAGAAAGAGCGCTAGGCGTCAGGTGGAACGTGTCTTCAGACACGTTCGGCTTCGCAATCGTGATTAAGGAACGACCGGCAACGAGAAGAGGAATACTTTCGATCGTCAGTTCTATTTACTACCCCCTCGGATTCGTTGCTCCTTATATTCTCTCGGCAAAATTGATCTTACAAGAACTTTGTCGATTAAAGCTCGACTGGGACGAGAAGATTCCTGATGAAAATCTTAAACACTGGCAAGCATGGCTACATGATCTACCTCAACTTGAAAATTTAGCTGTCGAACGCTGCTTCAAACCAGCTACAATGAATGAGATCAAATCAACACAACTTCACCACTTCTCCGATGCCTCGCAGCAAGGTTACGGAGCTGTGTCCTATATTAGAATCGAAGACATATCGGGAAATGTCAAATGTTCGTTCGTGATGGGAAAATCCCGACTTGCGCCTATGAAGCCAGTAACGATACCCCGAATGGAGTTATCAGCGGCTGTAGTGTCTACGAAGCTCGACAAGATTTCAAGAAATGAATTGAGCTTGCCTACCGATCAATCTTTCTTTTGGACTGACAGCACTTGCGTTTTGCGCTACATTGAAAACACGACCAAGCGATTTCAGACGTTTGTCGCAAATCGAATAGCGACAATACATGATGCATCGACCCCCAAGCAATGGAATTACGTGGACACTCGTTCAAATCCTGCTGATGACGCATCAAGAGGCGTGCCGGCAGACTCTCTTGCGATGGATCAAGGGTCCCGATTTCCTTACTAAGCCACCCGGAGAATGGCCAAAGAGACCTGGAGATCTGGGATCAACCACGGCGGTCCTAGACGACGACCCCGAAGTAAAGCACGGTTCGTCTGTTTGCGCTGCCAGCATAGCGCACGTTTCTAAGAAAAAGTTCACGGATCAACTAATCGAAAGATTTTCATCATGGAGCAGATTAAGAAGAGTATTCGCTCTTATACTACGCTATATAAGAAACCTGCGTTCGCGTGCCCAATTTCAACAGAAAGATCGAGCAGAATCCCTACCATCAGCAAATATCCCACCAATCAGTTTGACAGAATTGGTCAATGCCGACGTGAAGTTTTGAAACTCGTACAGCAGGGCTGCTTTGAGGAAGAGTTTCGACATCTTCAAAGTAAAAGATACAACAACTCGGTTAGCAATGCTAGCAGTATTGCAAAACTCGACCCTATCCTAGTCGACGGCCTCATTCGAGTCGGAGGTCGTATCCAACGAGCACAGATCAGCGATGACGCTCGTCACCCAATTATCCTTCCTAAAACCCACCACGTAGTCACCCTAATCACCAAATATTACCACGTCTCTGGTCACTCTGGCATAGAATACACGTTATCTTTAATAAGAGAGCGGTTTTGGATAATCAAGGCACGGACTACAGTTCGAAAGATATTGAATGCGTGTGTTAGCTGCAGAAAAAGACAGTCTCCTGTCGTCGAACAAAAGATGGCAGGCCTTCCGGCAGATCGCGTAACCTACGGAAAACCCCCATTTTCCTTTACTGGCGTAGATTGCTTCGGCCCGTTCTCTGTACGCCGCGGAAGAACGAGTGCGAAACGATATGGTATCATCTTCACCTGTTTAACAACTCGAGCAATCCATGTAGAAGTAGCAAATTCTTTGGATACGGAATCCTTCATAAATGCTTTACGAAGATTCATCGCAAGACGGGGCCAACCTGAGGAAATGCGGTCGGACAACGGAGGTAATTCGTAAAAGGCGAAAAAGAACTTCGGCAAGAAATCGAAAAATGGAACCAAAATCAAATCCATGACTTCCTCGTGCAACGTAGTATTAAATGGACATTTAATCCACCTGCAGGCTCACACCACGGCGGGGTGTGGGAGCGATGTATAAGAACAGTTCGAAAGGTAATGAGAGCTATTACCAAGGAACAGTTACTCGATGACGAAGGCCTCAACACATTGATGTGCGAGGTCGAAGCTATTGTCAATGGACGGCCATTGACAAAGTTGTCAGATGACCCCAACGATCTGCAACCCCTAACCCCCAACCATCTCCTATTGCTCCGAAGCGGAACAAATTTACCACCTGGAAATTTCTCAAAAGACGACTGCTGCAGCACGAGGCGATGGCGACAAGTACAGTATCTGGCCAATGTATTTTGGAGGCGATGGATTGGAGAGTATTTACCATCATTGCAAGAACGGCAGAAATGGCTTAAGAAACGACGGAATCTAGAAGTTGGTGATATTGTCTTAATCCTCGGTGAGAAAACTCCACGCTGCAGCTGGCCAATGGGACGCATTCTCGACGTCTACACCAACCGTCGGGATGGTCTCGTGCGTTCTGTGAAAGTGAAGACAAGCTTATCGGTGTTGGTTCGACCAGTGGACAAGATTATCTTCCTGGAATCTGAAACTGCTCCAACAGACGATAAGTAGAAAATAATTAAGATTTAATAGACGGCGATAGCCAGGAGCAATATATACAAATATACACATATTAGATTAAATGCTAGTTTAGATTTATCATAAAGTTTCGAACCCATATAAATTTCAGGTAAAGGCTTCAACATCGCCTTTAAGGGGCCGGAATGTTGGTTTCGAAACGGAAGGTCGTTCAAGTTGCTATTTTTCTGGCAAAAACAAGTTGTTATTTTCCGTTTCAGCGCAAAGATTTACATCAAATGCGTAAATTTGGTTAGCAAATGCGCAATGCGGTTGCCTTGCCTAGCCACGCTATGTGCGTCACAAACACACCGCGTTTCTATCAATTCTATGTTTTGAAATCCGGTTCATGCTACACAAAAGCAGCCTACCTAGCTTAGGTTACTCATTCTACGCTGAGTCTCGAATGTGGACGCTTGCAAGAAAGCAAAGGTTTATGTTAAAATTCTATTCGCATTGCGAGACAAAAAATTCTATCTTTATTCTACCTCAATCAAAGCTATATCTACGCGCATGATAGTTAAAGTTGGTGCGTCTGCAAACCAAAGTAAGTAAATAAATAATACGTTGTTTCAGTTAGCAATTGTCGCGCTAAGTGTTTCGATAAGCGCTGCTAAAATCGGTTTAGTTGTTATATTGTATTGCATGCTAATTCTTAGTTTAATAAGTATATCTCATTTATGTCAATTATCAAGTATACTCGTATTAATTTCATGTGATAGGTTACTATAGTTTGTCTGCTTATCATATTTTAGTTCGAACCGACGCAATATTCTCAATCGACTTATTCGACCCAAACCTGTATATATCCTGTTAATAAATTATCAAAATTCCTACGTCGAGTTCGTTTCATTCTACGCACCGCGTCTACCCCTGTAGATTTATTGGGAACTCGTTGACATTGAATTTCTGTCCCAGTGAAGCTACACGCCGAGAACACCGAGCACGCCAAGAACACCGAACACGGCGAGAACACCGAACACGGCGAGAACACCGAGCACGCCGAGAACACCGAACACGCCGAGAACACGGAGCACGCCGAGAACACCGAGCACGCCGAGAACACCGAGCACGCCGAGAACACCGAGCACGCCGAGAACACCGAGAACACCGAGCACGCCGAGAACACCCAGCACGCCGAGAACACCGAGCACGCCGAGAGCACCGAGCACGCCGAGCACGCCGAGAATACCGAACACAGAGAAAAAAAAACACACACGAAAGTCTTCGTTAGTATAAAATTTATCTTGATAATAAGATGAGATAGGATTGTTCGAAAGGCGTTTAGCTTAAACGGTTCATAAGTTCAAAATGGAAAACAAAATTTTCCGTGACTATATATTTATTGAACAACTGAGCTAAAATATTTCAAATGCAAGGTTAATCGTTTAATTGTCAATGGAAGTACATAGGATGCATAAGATGCAGCTTTAGTCATTCACAAGATGTACCAGAGTATTTTTATAGTGTGGCTTATCCACCGTATAAGCTAAACGCCTTTCGAACAACCGGCCTCAGAGATGTAAAATATGAACGGATTTCGAAAGATCTTTTGAATAAGCGACCCAATTATTTATAGCCGGAGTTGGGGCCCGAGAAGAAACTATTTTGACTACAAGAAATATTTTTACCCATGCACCTAATATAAATCCAAACCAAATTTCTATATACCCAACCCTGTGAGATTTTTTTTCCAGTTTTGCATAACGAAACCACAATTATTTTTTAGGTTGCAACCTGCCCGTACCTTTCATGAAAGTTTATTGCTTAAGGGCTGATATAATTGCGACAAATCTCAAATTGTATACCGGCCATGGATTTTTCTAAATCTCAAAATGTTCAAGTCAATTGATGCATGGGCACATTGATGTTATCGATAATTTAGATGATGAAATATAAACATTCCTTTGTGTTTTATAGAGCCACTTTTGAATATTAAACATATGATTATGACCGAAAATTTGCCCTCACAATCCTGAGGGAAGTAAAATTTTTCTTCTCCCAACTTTTATGCTCTGGAATTTCAACCGTTTTCTCTTCGGTCCCAAGCCTGGCTATAAATAATGACCGGTCGCTTATAATACTATTATGATACAATTTTTACACCAATAGACAACTAGCGCACTACGAAGCGTAGCAAATGATCCCGAGCTAGTTTTTGGTCTCCTTTCAGCAATTTTGAGAGATTTCTCTCCTGATCTTTCACAACTTGTTCATTTTGATAGAAATCCATCAGGTAGTTGAATAAAATGTGCGTTTCAAACTTTTAAAGACATGAACTACGCAACCGCCTAATGTTCTTTCTGTTGTTTTGCGATTCTTGCGTACTGGTTACCACGCAGTTTGCCTGATCACAAATATTGATATCGTGATACGCACATAGAGGCGACTTATGAGGATTTGTGGATGAATGGAACCTGTCTCCCAAGATGTAGCGGTCAGTTGTACCGGTAGCAGGGTGGACATACGAATCTTCTTCGGCTTCCACGTACACAGTACCGTTCATTTTGTACTCAGGTGGAACTATTGCTGGAATGTTGTGGTTCTGTAATATAAAGTAAGCCCAGGTAACTATTAGGCCTAATATACCAAAATAAAAAGAGCCAGCTAGCTTCTATTCTCATATATTCCAAAACAGTATTTTTGCTCCTGCAATTAAATGCAAATACCTGCATGAGATAATAATACATGAGATAATTATACGATGTTTTTCTTATTTCTAGATACCTTCATTGGATCCCTTTCACTTGTTGGTGTTTCAAAACAACCACCTCTATTTCCCCATAAATTTGCGCAGATATCTGGACATCTACATTCCATATGTCGTGCCAACCCACATGGTGTGTCGTTGTTAAAAACTATAATAGGCTTGTATTTTAATGACAAATACAAGTCTGCAGCATCTCGTACAGACTCGGTCAAGCCGAGAAACTTTGATGCGACAGTACACTGCAACAGAGCATAAAATTTATTTTAGTATATTGTATATATATATATATGCACATGCATATAATATATCGTTTGTAGTACACGTAATGTTTTTTCGCTATTTCACGCTTTACTTTTCTACGCAATTGCTAGCTACTTTGCACTTTAACGACAGCTACCGACTATCAGATAAATTTCACAATTAAATTTCAAAATATTTCTCCATAGGCTAGCTGCCAGTATTCCCGTGTTCCACTATATAGCTTGGAGATATAGCTTCGAGATGCCGGCAGGTTTTGCAGTAATACATGCAGAAACTTTGACTTCATTATGCATAAGATCTGTCCTGCTAAAAACATGATTGAACCCACTATAGTTACCTTTAATACATCTTTTTAGTATACT